GAAGAGCTAAAATTAGCATTCGAATTCCAGGGGCCTCAACATTTTTCTAAGAATTCAATGTTTCATAAGCGAGGCAAGATAGACTTAGATAGTCAACAGACGCGTGACCAAAAAAAGCGAGATGTATGTAAAAGAGAGAGTATAGATCTTATTGAAATACCGTATACATGTGACTTACTCCCCTATATCAAAAGTGAATTGCTTAAAAAAGGGTATTTGAAAAATACAGATATTAATGAACACGATAATTGATATTATCTCATTAGCTAATAATATCATACTCTGAATCCAATTGCGATGGGGTATTCGGATACCTTACTATTGGTGCCAATGGAATATCTTTGAATTTATATCGAAGATGCGTTATGATTTTATTAGTAATATCATGAGGGATATTCAACAAAACTTTTTCACATTCTTTCCGTATTACACATATTAACCACCCGATATGTATTAATCGACCACCTTTACCATTATATCCAGTACGAAGCAAGAAATGAAAATCATCTATCACAATATTTGTTGCCATTCTTTGATCTGCGATAATTTTTCGAAATAGTCGTTGATCTCTCTCTGTTTCTGGAAAACGAATCTCATCGGGTTTGAAACCTATAAATTCGGAAAGTTGTTCACGAAGTTCAGCCATTTTTATATTTGCTATATGTAGTATTTAATTTATAAATCAAAAACGATAAACATAATTTTGTTTAGGAATAAGTAGTAATCTGTGCCATTATTTTTTGGTATAATAATTAGTGACTTAGCTTGATCGATATGAAAATAGAAAAGCTCGACCCTGTTGAGAGAATGGTTTTAAACATCGATGAATACAAAAATATAGAGAGATTTAACGGCCTTAATTCGACACCTCAATGGCCTTTTAATTTATTAGTCAGTGGGCGAACCAGATCAGGAAAAACTAACGAAGTTATCAACCTTTTACTTGGAAATAAAATGTATCGATTGTTTAGTGGGAAAAAAGGCGGAATGAGATATATTAAGAATGATGATTTGGTTTTGATCGGTCATCAAATTAATGAGCCCAAGTATAAATATCTCCGAGATTGCTATAAAATAATTGCAAATAGCCCCAAACCATATCGTGAAGATGTTACATTCCGAGCAATGAAACCTGATAAAATGCCAAAAACCCTTTCACTTCAATCCGAATCTCCACCTGTACTTAAGGCATATGCTTATCTAACTCAACAGGCGAGAGAGAATCCCAAGTCACCTAAACCTCAAAGTATTAGTACTAGTTGACGGGGACAACAATTCACGTCTTCTTCGATCACATTCAAAATCACCATCCAGCTCCTCATTAAACCAACAACTAACTTCCAGCAATTAACAATCATCTTCTAACATCTCTGTGGATCAGCAAAAGTTTGGCTTCACGGATTTCAAGTTTAAGGGCATACTGGGTAAAGGACGCAGTGGTAAAACGCTCCTATGTGAGTTTCGTGGTGATACAATTACTTTGAAGAGCGTAGACTTATCGAAGGCCCCTTCGTATGTCCTGGAAGAAATGCAGAAAGAAGTCAAGATTTATAAAGATCTAGCTGATATTCAAGGCAAGTATATCCCAAAATTGGTTTGTTATGGATATTATGGAGGAGGCATGAGTTTCGTTATCGGCATGACCATTGTCGGCACTACGTTGAGCGATCATAAAATAACGGAGTAACAAAGGACAAATGCTATCAAGGGATTAGATACGATTCACAAGTGTGGCATCCTCCACAATGACATTCGGGAGGAAAACATCTTAATTAACGATAACGGTGACATATACCTGATTGACTTCGGGATGGCAAGTTGGGCGGATGTAAAAAAAAAGAGAAAGCTTTTCGACAAGGAACAGGCCAAATTATCTCAATTACTAGATAGATATACTGTGTAAGAATCTATATTTTTTCAAATTCCTATTTCTTGTAATCCTAGTTTCTTGTACTTAATAAACATGTATTTTATAGACATTCTACAAAGAACGCTGGACGAATTTCCAAATCACGTAAATGTTAGGTAGTTAGCTAGACCGTAGAATTAGCATAGATCATCGAGTAATCTCATAGAAGATAAAAAAATATCACATGTATACACCAATGTCTGTACTATTTCTATTCATACCGATAAAAAAGTAATATGATTTATTGTATCAGGCCCTTTAGGGCAACTCTTCGAGTTATAAAATTTTTTTCCGATCGTTTCCCAGGGAAACGGTTTTGTCAAAAAGTAATCTTATTGGCCAAGGTTTCAGATAAATAATAGTCACGTGACATTGTGATTGCTTGTCACAATCTATGTACTAAATCCGTCCATTTTTTTACTAGCTCCACCTGGTTTTTATTTTTTAACTGATTTTTGACGAAGTGTATGCGCATCGGTGTGTGCTGGTTTTAAATGTCGAAAATAAATTGCTAATCGAATTATTATTTCTAACGGCTCATTGAATAGTGTTGTTTTTGTATTTCCTTACTTATACCAGCTACGGAAAGGAAATTATCACGACGCCTCCGATATAATAAAAATAAGAAACTCAAGTGGGATATAATATTTTTTGTACGAAATTACGATATTTTCAGAATAATATACATATGTTTAGAACAGGTGCGACTCAATTATCACCCGAAGCAATTAGTGATATAATTACTGCTAAAGATATTGCAAATTCATTACAGATATTAGCTAAAAAATACAATATATCCTATACACGAATTCGTGAAATATGGAAATTCTCTATTGCGATAAATAATCTCTTATAATCGATTCAACCAATATATATGTACATTTCTCTCATTTTTATTACAAATACCTTCACAAAATATGACGAATATGCTAAGTATAGAGTCTCTGACTCATATAACATTCTTGAAGAGATGGTTTAAAAACCCAATCTACATTAAAATTAAATCATATTATTCTAGAGTATATAGTTATTAAATCAAATAGATCCAAATTCTTAAATCCAATATAATAGCATAATTTTATATAATTAATAAATAAGTTATAAAATGATTAATTTTAGCTATTTAGTAGCTCATCAGGGTTCTAAATATTCGGATGAAGAATGGACTGTATATTGTGAGATGTCACAAGTTCGTGATAATGAAACTTCCAGTAAGTAAATGAAACGGATTTGGGAACATCTTATATATTTTAGAGAAAATGATCTCTTACCTTATAATAGCAAAAAATATCTTGAAGCTAAAAAGTTAAAAAAATATTGGAATAATTTTAATAGGCAGAATCCAGAATCTTTAAATTATAAATTTTATACAAGTTATGTGCCTAAAATTGATATTGCAATATGCTTCTCTTGCAATCAATTAGTATATACAGGAAAATGAACCAAAAATATAGGTAATTATAATTATATAGAAATGGAGAGGTATTGGGCTTCTCATTGTACTGGAAATAGCTTTTGTAATATAAGTTATGAAGAATATATGAAAATTAAACAAAAACCCAATTCTATATATAATTTTGAAAATGAGTATACATTATATCATTATGAATTATGAATACAAAATATTATTAGAAAAGTTAAACATGCCAAAGAAATTGATAAGAAAATTCGAGCATGTACAATAATACAATGTAAATTCATTGAATATATATATAAATCTGATGGTCTCTGTACTTCAAATTAGCATTATATTATTAACTATTATGGACAGTTCAAGAAGAAATATAACAAGTTAACAATATATAACTTAATTTATTTTAATATATAAAGCTGATAACATTTTTTATGGCATAGTCATGAGTCTTATTGTAAAACAATGGCACTTATGTGCCTGACTCTACTTTGATTTTTATATACAGTCATTTTATCCAGCACAAAAAACCCCTTGATACAAATAAACTATTGCAAAACAGGTTATTAAACAATTCTTTAAATTATGATCCAAAGCATCTACAAATTTATTTATTTTTTTAATATCTACTTTAACCTCAATTAGGCTAGATACTGATAGCTATTTTATTTAAGAATAGTTGAAAATAAGATATTAAAACCATCTACTCTAATTTCAATTATAATTAAATATAGACAGCTTCTTAATAAAAGTGGCAAATAAGATGTACTTATATTGCTATATTAATAAATAATGGAAAAATAATTGTTTAATTGACAAATCTTGGTTTATTCATCCAATATCAAAATTTTATCCCAGCCAACACATATTCTATATGGATACTCGGGAGATACACTTAGATCAAAGACAATAAATTTCTGTTTGCATAAATGCTTATTATTAATTTTATAATAAATGTGCCTGTCGTTAATATATAAATGAAGTATTTTACTTAACTCATCTGAGATACAAGAGTCTTTAAAAAGTACAACATATTTTAAATTTTTTTTTATTAGTTTTGGACAGTCAAAATAGCTTTGTGAGACATATATTGAAAAAATATTAGAATAGCAACTTTTAGTAAAATAAGGTATAATTTTTTCTTGAATTTTCTTTGATTCGGTACATATATCCTCAAATATAAACACTGTACCTCTTTCTAGAAAAAATAAATCTAGCCTTGAAATTTTATCAAGCTTTATAATCCTAAATGTAATATCTTCATGATATGGTTCTGAACTATTTGCAATTATCTAAAATACTAATTTAAGATATTATAATGGTATAATGACGAGTCAGTCACTAACTCTAGCAGAGATTCGCATAACCATTACTGGTAAATGAATAAAAGGGTAATTTTAAGTGTGTTTGTATTTGACTGAGTCTTTATTAATTTCTCACTTGTTCACTACTATCTTTTGTCTTCCTTCTCTACTCCTCTATACTTTACATATTATTTATACTTTACATTTGGCTATGGTGACTTGAGTACAGAATAATAAGCTATAATACAATGACGAGGCTTAGGCTATCTTACATAATTTTTCTCATTAATTTCTTTCATCACTTGTTATTACCTAATTATTACAGCCAACTTACTATTGTCACATCGATTGGTTATGTGACTAACGTCGTGTTCCATTTCTCCCTGTTACAATATATATATTTGGATTCTTTAAAATAATAACCAATAAGTATAACATCATTACACTTAATATCTTAGCTTTCTCTTTTTTTTCCATTAAATATCTGATAGAGCTTATTTTCAAGTAAAAGATTAACAACTTCAATAGTTTTCCCTGAATTAGTTTGATCAGTAATTAATATTGTAAAAGGCTATTGAAAGGTTAAGTTTTTTAAGTTATATTTTCTGGAAGTCTTATATTTATCTATATTAAGTACAAATCTCTCAACTGGTTCAAGTTTTTTTATTTTTATACTGTCATATGCCAATCCAACCTCAAAAATCAGCATAGGATGAAGAGCTGATAGTAGGGAGACACTTTATTTAGGACATAATCCTAATGTGGTGTGCTATAGTTCGTAGAGAACATACTTGAGGTTGCAACA